TTGATTTTCCTGGCTTCTTTTTTTTTTTTTTTCCTGTGCTAGTAAGGATGAACACAGGACCTCATGCATGCTGAGTAAATGATATACCACCAAACTACATTCCCAGCCCTATCTGATTTGAAATGCCACCTTGATCATATATTTAATTTCCACATCTATTTATATGTATTTGAGGACCAAACTCTTTTCCTTTGATGTATCTATTTCTATGTTGTTGCTGCTTCAATCACTAGACTTAGAAATGTTCTTCTATTTGATGCTGGGTATGGTGGTACATGCCTTTAATCCTAGCACTTGGGAGGCAAAGGCAGGCAGATCTCTGTGAGTCTGAGGCAGACTAGGCTCTCACTATGTTAGATTCTATCTGAAAACAAAAACAAAAAACCCAAAACAACCAAAGGGGCTGGAGAGATGGCTCAGCAATAAAGAGCAGTGGCTGCTTTTACAGAGGACCGAGGTTCCGTTCCTAGCACCCACATGGTGGCTAACCACCATCGGTAATTGTAACTCAAGTTCCAGGGGATCCACGGCCCTCTTCTGATCTCTGTGGGCATTGCACAACATGGATGCACTTATATACATGCAGGCAATACATTTGTAATCATGCTCAGATGCCGAGGAGCTCAGAAGGTGGGCGACTGTGACCAGTGATAGTCATGTATATAGAGATTAGAAATGCATGTGAAAACGTCTCAATGTCAATTGCCTTGGAATGAATTCTTCTGTATGAAAACAAAACAAAACAAAACAAGTATCTTCTTGAAGTCCCTCAAATTAAGGTAAAGAATAAGAACAAATCATTCTGGAAGAACGCAAAGGAAAATAGCTTTAGATACTTAAGTGACAATAGAATTTATTCTCATAATTGTTTTAAGAGCTTTTGTATAATCCTCATCGCTATTATGAGATATAAAATGTATTTATCAAATCTGTAATCATTATGCCAAAAAATCTGAATTACTGTAATGGTCTCCTGTAGCCCCAGCTGGCCTGGAATTCACTATGTAGACCAGACTAGCCTTGATCTTACACAGATCCACCTGCCTCTGCCTCTGCCTCCTGAGTGCTGGGATTAAAAGCATGCATTACCTTGCCTGGCATTGTTTTATTTTTTGAGATAGGGTCTCACTGTAGCTCCAGCTGGCCTGGAACTCACTATGTAGACCAGGTTGGCCTCCATCTCAGATCTGCCTGCCTCTGCCTCCTGGGTACTGGGATTAAAGGCACGTGCTACCACACCCAGAAAGGCTAATCTTTTAATTTTTCTGACCATTCATGCATACTTTTTTTTTTTTTTAAAGACTTTTGACTAGGGCTTCAGAGTAAAAAAAGGCAAAGAGATACCAGCTAACCCATGGAAGTTTTCAGCACTATTCCATGGGAGGGACTGTAAGCAACTACAGGGTAGAATGGCCCATCTTTTCCACAGCATCCTCAACTTCAGTCATTTTGAGGCACCACATTTATACTTTTTGATGCATCTGTACTGTATGTCACCTCTATTATTAATTTTTTACTTTTACATTTTAAAATAAAGCTCCAGCTGGGCGTGGTGGTGCATGCCTTTAATCCCAGCACTCGGGAGGCAGAGGCAGGCAGATCATTGAGTTCAAGGCCAGCCTGGTCTACATAGTGAGTTCAGGTCAGCTGGGACTACAGGGAGACCCTGTCTCAAAAACACACACACACACACACATATATATATATCTCACCCACACAGTATGTAAAAGTATAAATTAGATATAATACTTTCCTAGCATATTGAACTTAATAGATTAGCAATTAAAACAAACACTGTCCATGTGTGTGCCCATTTTGTGTGCTGCCAGCACCTTGAGAGAACTGGCTAGCAAACTGTTCTCATTAGTGCTGCAGACCGAGCTCTCCATGGGGAAGGTGCCACTGGGCTGGCTAGGACACCTGTAGCTCAGGGTGGACACTGGTTGTGCAGGTGGGTCCCATTAGCGAAGATCAGTGATAGTGAGATGTTGACTTATATGATGTAAGTACTTGTACATGTAATTATATGTCCAATGTGGTGTTAAAAAAAAACAACAAAAAAACAACAAAAACCCTTTACAAGCGTTAAGAGAGTTGCTGTATTGTTTTTGTGTTCATTACTGTAGTAGGATTTGATACATATACCCTAAAATGGATAGTAGAAAAGGCTGGCCTGTACTTAGTAGAAGAGTGCAAGGTCCTGGGGTCAAGCCAGAGGACAAGTCATGCAAAGAAACAGGGTCTGATGTTTCCGCAAACAAATGTACTCTCACAAAGGCCCTGCGGTTCTGCAAAAGGCCACAGATGATATCACAGTCCACTTACAAGGTTCATGAGATGATAAGACTTATTTGCAGTGCTGAAACAGAAATGCCGCCAAAGGCCAGGGCTGCGAGTCCTTATCTTACGTCTTTAAAGGTTCACAGAGATAAATGGAAAATGCTATCCTATCCTTACAGAGATCAAATTAAGGGGCAGGATCGCTGAGAATCAAATATCTTGTACTGACCTGTCACAAACACTTACTCAGATGCAAGTAAACACACCACACTCCACTGTAGCCCAAGGTAACTCTGGCTCTGAGTTGTCAGTCAGCTTTCTAATCTACCTATTGCTCCGCACCTTCGGTACTGAGAGCAGAGAAGTTGAGACATTTTCTGATAGTAAAATCTCCCTTCAAAATAGAAGCTGCTACTTCCGATATAAATATTCAAATAGCTTGCATTTGTCTTTTTTTTGGAAATAGGGTCTCCCTGTAGCCCCAGCTGGCCTGGAACTCACTATGTAGACCAGGCTGGCCTTGAACTTAGAGATCCATCTACCTCTGCCTCCCAAGTGATGGGATTAAAGACGTAAGCCACCATACCCAGCTGCATTTGTTCTTTTAAAATGAGTCTAGAATAACCTGGATTCCCTCTGTCGGTAGCCATGGAGACTAACGGCAACTATTTCAGTGGTGGAATAACCCTAAGGGACAACATTCTTCACGGTGTCTACTAATGTGCTTCACATTAAAATCAATAAAGCTAGCACCCTTCAAAATTTCACTTGCAGGCTCTGGATCTGAAATCCTATCAGTTTCGAGATCATTTGATGGACGATTGGCTAGCAAAGAGAGGCAGATGACTGCTCCAGAGGAAGCTGGAGCTATATTTTCCAGTACCTCTGCAGGTCCGCTGTCCCTCATTTCCTGCCACGTGGGACCCCTTCCACAGGTGCCTGGACCTTTCGCTGTAGAAGTTTCTTACCTCTGACCTCTGAAACTGGAAGTCTGAGTGTGTTACTGCTTCCTTCAAGACTTTTCTCTCATCCAAGAGTCACCAGGAGGCCTTGCTGAGATGTGCACTGACTTAATGTGCACTTGAAGGCTCCCCGTTTGCATAATCCACATTCTGGAAAGCTTTTGGAGTGTTATGTCAATTAAACTTCACCTGGAGTTTCTCAGAATCTAATTGCACAGTGTTGCCAGCTTTCCCTAACCCTCCAAACAAGTGACAGAACTGTTTCTACCGATGTGATTCGCTTGAAGAACCATGTGAGGTGTCCAGTTACTGTTTCAGAGCACCTGGTGGCAGGTGATGTAATTCTCAAACTGGGGTTCAGGATACATCCTGCAGGGTGGAGCATCTGCCAGTGCAAACCTGTACCGGCTATTTAAAGAGTTCGCTGGCAAGGCCAGGCACCCGCCTGGAGGACAGGGCAGGTGGCAGCAAAAGCCTGCTCTGGGAAAGCACTGGCATTGGAACTCATGTTGGAGGCAAGGGCAGGCAGGGTGAGGAGGATGAAGGATGACAGCGGGGGCTGGCCGTAGATAGAGAACACAAGTGACAAGGGGTGGGAAGACCCTTCCTGGGCAAAGCATTCCTTATTCTGTTCAAGCACAAACTGCCAAGGCCGCATGCTGCTGCCTGGCAGGGTGGGGTTATGATTGCATACCCTGGGTGTGCAGCTTGTTCTCTCCCTCTTTCACACTGTGGTCTAGTGGAGATGACGAAACCCTACACGTGTGAAGATTAGCTGTTGTAGATGGTCCAAATGTTCCTTCCCCACTGTGAATATAACAGAGAATTCTAGCTTTGGAGAGGAGCCAAAGGTATGATTAAGGTATGATGTACTGTTTGGGGCTGTATTTAAATCTTTACATTATTTTAGGACCTATGTTTTCAATCACATGGTCTCCATTTACAACTCTGTATAATTTTCCTTAATTCAGCTTTATATCCTCAAAACACTCATCTCCCAGAAGGCTTAGGCTTGTTCTCCCAGGAGTAGACTGACTCAAGGATGCAGATATAAGAGATTTATTAAGGAAAGGCCCCAGAGACACCAGGAGGTGAGGGGGAGGAGGAGGAGGGGGAAGGGAGGAAACTGAGCAAGGAAACAATTTCCTGCCAAGTCCCAGCCTTGGCCTGGTCCCCAGGAGAGAGCCCCAGAGTACAGATGTAGGAAAGGAAGCTGGGCTGGACTCCTAACCCTCTGGTCAGTAGCAGCCTTGACCAAGGTGAATCGTGGGGTATGGGAGGTGGAGTGGCCACAGCCCTGTGGGCAGACTGGTTCCAGGAACAAGTGGCAGGTGCGAACCTCTCTCTGCAAAGTATGCAGCTTTGAGCTGAGCACAAACAGCTGCCAGGAGACTCCCATGGACTGAGGGGCAGGTAACAGCACTTCCCATCCCACACTGCCTGCTCTCACCTCCAGCACCAGTTAGAAGTCTTTCATCACTGGCTGCTGCAAGAGGAAATGAATAATCTCTCTTGAAAGTCCTGGGGTCAGCTTTTCATTTTCCACAGAGCTGCCTCCTTGCTCCAGAGGGTAGAAGCAGGTGTTCCTGGAACGCCTTCGTAAAACAGAGCAGCCATCACGACTGAAGATGACTCTGGCCATCTGGAAACTGAGGCGAGCATACTTTTGGCTCTCCTGGTCCCTGAGTTCAGTGATTTTCTGAGACAGGCACTGGCAGACAGATACAGAGAGCCGGTCCCCAGATCCCAGCACTGGGTGACCGAATGCTTCATAGAATTTGTCCAGGGATTTCCGAATTCCATTATCCTCTTCCTTGGTCTCCAGTGGGCCTTTCACGGAAGGATCAAGCCAGAAGTTCTCCGAGTCCCAGGAGCCCTTTTGTTCAGTATTTGGATTGCTGCTATCTGCTAGACAAAACACATTCCAATATTCAAACACAGTAAAAAAAAAAAAAAAATCAGAAAGTAGGCTGGCGAGATGACTCTGGATGTAAAGGTATTTGCTGTGTAAGCTTGGTGATCAGAGTTCAATTCCCCAATGCCCATGTAAAGGTGGAAGGAGAGAACCAACTCCTGCAGTTGTCCTCTGATCCCCATGGCATGTGTACCCCCACATCATGCACACACATGCATAATAATATTTTTAAGCATTGGAAAGCGAGCCAAGAGCCCAATGTCTCTCTTCAGCTCAGCACACTTACTGCTTCTTGGGGAACCAGCTATGGGCAGAATTGCTGACTTCAGAAACTGTTCCCACCACCCTCAGGTTATACCCATGTGCTTGCTTATAAGAACATCTAGCATAACCTGTATTGGGGGGTTTTAACCTCCGGTGCCTGGGTCCCTGAATATAAATTCACAGTGGCTGAAAAAAGAAATTCCTATCTTTACTTTCACTATTCTCTACCTGAAAGTTACCATTTCCTTCTATGATCGACATAAGTAAATAACAGAATTGGCAGCAGTCTCTGTGATTAGAGACTCTGGAAGGAGAGGAGAGGAGAGAGAGACAGAGACAGAGACAGAGACAGAGAGAGAAGGCCTTGGATTTAGAGCCTCCAGTACTGCTGCTTAATCCACATAGTGGTTATGGTATTTTACTGCCAGCTGGAACAGAGCAAGACACACTACTTTGAAATTACTAGGTATTAATCCCTATATGAGATCTTATTACCTATGTACTAATTTAAAAGCATATGTTCATTATGATGCCATCATTTGTTCTTTTAAAACATTTTTAAATAGTAGTTGCTAATACCCACTAGCTTTCTCTCTTTTTATACATTTTTATCTGTGTGTGCGTGTGTGTATGCACACGCCATGGCATGCATGTGGAGGTCAAAGGACAACCTGTGGGAGTCAGTTCTCTCCTTCCGTCATGTGGGTTCCAGGAATCATACTCAGGTTATCAGGTCGATGGCAGGTGCCTTTACCCGCTAAGCCATCTCTCCAGCCCAGCTCATTTGTTCTTAAAATGTTTCAACAACTGCATTTCTGCAGTTTTCATATTGTTCACTTAGAAATATTTTTCTGCACGCAAAACACTTATACACATAACATGAAAAACAAGAAATATTATTCTGAGAAACAGCTAGTAAGCTTCAGTGGACAGCAAGGGGATCCACAGCACAACAGCATGAAGCCTGGGAAATGCC